GGGCTGTGGGAGAAGCCAGCCTAGACCCTCCACATCAGCACAGCCAGCAGGTTACTTCCACCAGGAGCCCAGCTGACACCACAGGGAGCAGAGGAGCCCCCAGCCAAGCCCTTCCCCAATTCCCGGCCCACAGAATCTTGAGGTTTTCTTTAGGATGGTGGTGGTTTTCAGCTGCCCAAACCGGGGTAGTTTATTATACAGCTATAGGTAAGCAGACACCCCTCCTGAGTTAGCTGCGTTTCACAGGTGATGACGCTGGAGAAAGAAATGAAAACTCAAGTGACACAGGTTGATTATGAGGCCAGGCCGCTCAGCAGCAGAGTCCCTGCTCTTAGTCCCTCACTACGTCACCTCTCACGTGGCCGGAAGGGTCAGGCCTGACCTAAGTAATGCTGGTGACAGAGTGGATAAGGCATTTTGGTTGCTAATCAGAAGGTCAGAGGTTCAAACCCACCAGCCACTCCATGGAAGGAAGATGGGGCAATCCGTAAAGGTTTGCAGCCTTGGAAACCCAATGAGAGTCACTATGAGTCAGAATCAACTCAATGGCAGTGAGTTTGTTTTGTCTGTATGTTAAGTAAACGCTCTAGTCCAACAAGTTATTTTCAAAATTGCTCAATAACAGAGCTAGTCTAAGTGGTATAAAAGCTAAAAACGTTTAAAATATATTTTTTCTTGGTTCATCAGAAGCTGAGAATATCCAGTATCACTGATTATTATCACTGATTTTTATGGAATTTTCCTCCTTAATCAACTCTATCTCACCTGCTGACTATCAATTTAACAGGAAAGCCCTTTAAATGGTCTGATTCTACATATCAAACAGTGGCTCTGACCGTGACATCACTTAGTTATCAATAGCCAGACCAAACAAAAAAACTTGAAACCCACAAAAGCAGTTTTAAATAACCAGTACATGATTTAGAAATTAGAATAATTTGATAAATAATTTCTGCTACATCTAATGTAACTCAGAAGGTAGTCATACAACAAATAAACCAAAATATAAACATTTTTAGTTTATGCTTTTTAATTTAAATAAAACTTTAAAATTTATGTATTAATTTCTCTTATTGTACTAGTCATTAAATATTTTGAGTATCATCCTTGTGGCATTGAAAAGACTGTTATAAGAATTAAATACAATTAAGAGTGTGCCTTGTACACAGTAAACACTCAGATTATCTGTTACGATTTTTACGATGATTATTTTATAATTACGATAGGCATTATAACCCAAAGTCATAGGACTCTGTTATTGTTGTTTGCCATTAAGTCTACTCCACTTGACAGAGTAGAACTGCCCCATGGGGTTTTCTAGGCTGTAATCTTTACGAGAGCAGACCTCCAGGTCTTTCTTCCACAGAGTTGCTGGGTGGGCTGGAACCACCCACCTTTTGGTTAGCAGCCAAGTGCTTCACCACTGTGGCAGCAGGGCTCCTCATGTGCCTCGGAGATCTTTTATTCCCATTCATGCATTCACTTCATGGACAACTGTGTGGAACTAAGGTCCTGTGAAACACAATGAGTGGCATCAGCCTAGAAGCCCGATGTGCTTAGAACATGATGACTCTCAGAGCCAGCGCCACACGTGTCCTTGACTGTGACATGGTGTGGGACGACTGCAATTCTCTGCTTCTCTGCCCACATCTCAGACTGGTGTTGATAACGCTCTGGAAGCATACTCACTTTTTGGGGTTCCTAGAGCCCAGAGTCCAGTACTGAGACAGAACATTCTTTTCCTGAGGTAGTAGCTTTTTTGCTTGAAAGAATGTATGGTGCTCGACACAAGATTTCCATAAGTTTTTGCAAGATCGGTAATTTAACATGTTGAAGGATACCATATGTTCCCTGGATTCAGTCTGGAAGAAAAACACAGTGGCAATTTCACCTGTGTAGGCATAACAGCATTTTATGCACATTTTGGTGATGAACGGGTAAGATGCAACAAACAGGATGAAAACCGGCTTCAAAATACCTGAGGCTACAAACCAGCTTTGGAAGAAAATTCGAGTGGGATTTGTAAATCACTGTTGTTGCTGGATGCCGTGGAGTCACTTCTCACTCACAGTGACCCATGGGATAGGGGAGAACTTTCCCACAGGGTTTCCTTGGCTGTAATCTTTACAGAAGCAGATCACCAGCTCTAGCTCCCCTGGAGCCACTGGGTGGGTTTGAACCACCAACCTTTTGGTTAGCAGCTGAGCACTTAGCTGATGTGCCACCAGGGCTCCTTTAACTATCATCATGGGTGTGATAAGAAAGATGACCCGTATCCTTTATCAACACCTGGGGTCCTTTATGCACACTGTCATTTCAAGTTTGCTTACACTTCTAGGTTGGACAGATCTGGAACAACCAGAAAAAGGCCTGGCACACTCCTTCCAAAACTCAGCTCTGTGGAAATCTCCCTCTTGAAGAACTCATCTTTCTCCTATCACACAGCAGGAATTTTATGATCCTTTGGATTTCTCTACGTGCCTTCCACAAGCACAGGGTTAAAGGCAATGCGAATACCTAATAATTACTTTCATTATTTGCTTTGCCTTTACCTTCATGAGTTGAGGTTTTCTGTTCTCATGTTAAATTACCACCTTGGGCATTTCTGTCCCACCTCGAAATCTTACGATAGGTGTGAGGGGACCCAAATTCTAACCCTAGTTTGCTCTCAACTTTAAGATCCTCATTTCTAAGAGTTCATTTCTATGTTGAGTCATTTTAAGTAATGTTATTTTTGCAAACTGAGAAATGGGCACAGTGACAGGAAGTAAAAAATAAGCAGCGTAACAAGATGGTGCGTTTCCTAACAAGATGGTGGGTGAAAAAGTGGAAAGAGTCTCAGGTTCATAATGCCTTGGGTCCAAATTCTGGCTCCCCATTTACCAGCCACGAGAGCCCCAATGTTCTCATCTCACTCCAACTATTCCACGAAGGTGACCACACTGAGCTTTCTGGAGAGGCTGGATTCCTCTTAGGAAACGCAAGCACGAGGCCATGTGCATTTTAAACAAACGGAGGGAAAGAACTGCCCTTGTTGACGTTTACTGCTACTTGGCGGCAGGCTCTGTGCCAGGTGCTTTGACCGATGCTATTTTATGTAATCCTCATATTTCCTGAGAAGTGGGCATTATTCTGCTTCTAGAAATCAGATAACTTGGACTAAGTGAGATTAAGTAACCTGCCCAGCTGGCAAGGCAAAGACCTTGGCCCTGAACCCATTATCTCTGACTCCAAAGCCAGTTAATTCTCCAACAAGATAAAATGAATTCTCTAGAGAACTCTAGCCTCCAATGTCCATTTTCCTTCTACCAGGCCGTGCTCTTTCTTCCCTGCTAACAGCTGTCATCAAGTCAACTCCAACTCCTGGGGAACCCGTGTGTGTCATACTGTGTTCCATACGGTTTTCAATGGCTGATTTTTCAAAAGTAAACTGCCTGGTCTTTCTTCCGAGGAGCATGAGGTGGACTCAAACCACCAACCGTTCAGTCAGCAGCCAAATGTGTTAACTATACCACTCAGGGACTCCTTTGCTCCTACTACCTCTTCCTAAAGGACTAAGTGCTGAGGTGACTAAAAACACAAGAACCAAAGCAAGCGTAGACATAACTCACCTGTTTTTGTCGTTGATGTATAAAGAATTTTTTCCTTTTGAAAGAAATTTTTAGAATGTTCACCCTATTAAAAAAACACAACACAAAGCACATCAGTGATCAGCCAGGTTGTGGCTGTGGCCCCTCCATGTGTGGCCTCTACTCCACAGTGCTGACTGGGGGCTCTCAGCTCCCTAGAGTTGACTTCACTGTAGGAATGAGAGTGGCCCCACGGTCTCAGCCAAACACCAAGTAGCTGGATGAAGCTCAGGACCACATAAAGGCCAGGAGATTATGAGTTAGCTTTTCAATAGCAAGAAACATGAGCCATACACTCTGCTGGAAGCTTCTTTTGTGATGCTGGAGCGCTATGTGAACTGGAGTGTACCCGGGTGGACAGCTGACGGCAGCGTTGTACAGCAGGAAGAGGACAGACAGAGCAGACGGACAGACCTGGGTCCACGTCCCAGCTCCATTACTTAATAGCTGCGTGCCAAGTAGCCTACATTTGCATAATAACTGAATATCATCCATATTAACTGAACACTTTTTATATTCCAGGCTCCCTACTAAGCGCTTTGTAAGCATTCCCTCACTTAAGCCTTGCAACAATCCTGAAAAGTATGTAACATTATACTCAATTTTCACATGAGAATACTGAGACTTGGAGATACACCGTAAGTGCCCCAAATCATTCAACTAGGAATCCTTGGAGCCAGGATCTGAGCTCAGGCCTGGCCTGACTGCAGAGCAAGTCGTGTGGGCAGTGGGATGACACTGCGTTTCTCAGAAGTTGTGGTGAGGATCCAAGTGGATGAAGCATATGAAGCCTCTAGTGGGATGCTTGACAGATAGTAAGCCCTCAACTTCTTACAATGAAAACCGATTAAAGGGTTAACTTTTAAAATAATTTCATTTAATCCATATGTCCAACTACCATAATCCATTTAATTCATCATGTCAAATTCCTGTAGCTCACACAAGGGAGGATCACTTCCACACTGGAGTCTTTACTTCTGAAATTCTTCGAAGAACCGTTCTCTAGAATCTTATGAGAACCTTGGTAGAACATTCCAGAACAGAGGGGCTCAGTAGGTTAAGTAAAAGTGTAACTACTCATGTAATACTTCTCCAGTTAAATCAGTAATGTACTTACATTAAATATTAAGTAATGAGCTATGATTGTCATAACATTTAAATTAAACAATGTGTTGATAGATATTGTTTGACAAATTAATTTTATGAGTGACTGAAAGTTAATACTCTGAAGAACTACAAGAGTGTTTGGTCCTTAGGGACTCTTGTGGGAGAAAGTCAGCGTCTCCTTGCCACTTTCCTGCCCTAACGGGCAGATGTAGGCACTCTTGTTCCGCAAAAAAATCAGGAAACCAACCCAGCTTTTGAGATCTCACCCTTGCCTTGACCGCTCGCCCCACCAGCTTCACATACAGGAGGGTCCCCTCCTGGACCTCCTATAGTTCAGAGCATTCCAGATCAGCGCTCCCGCCTTCTGATGTGGACCCCAATTTCAATACTTGATAACACTCTCTCCTTGAGCAAACCTGACTAAGTGCAGACAAGATCTATGGTGTCCTATGGCTGAAGACCCTACAGTGATTCCCACTGCCCCTCATTCACCCATCAGGGAAAAAAACATACTGAGTGTCTAGAACATACAACAGTCCATCACCACCATCTTGAAACACATAATCTAGTGAGGGAAGGTACCAAGTAAATATAACTAACTAATTATTGTGACCACTGCATCAGGAAAGTCCAGCATCTCTTAGGAAACCTAAGGCTTAGATCAATGCTCCACCAGCCTTCGAGGCCCTGTGTGACCCAGCCCCACTCCCATACCAGGCTCCAGCCCGACACACCCACCTTCCCTTTATTCCCTACACAGTATGCTCTCTCGTCCCCAGGCCTCCACATAGGATGCCTCCACACAGGACACTCATTCTGTCTAGAATTGACTCCCGAGTTCTAAAGACCAGGTGGTCTTCAGATTAAGTTTGGAGCCCACCTCTACTTCTGTGGGCTCGGACCCTTCCTTGGTGCTACCCCTTCTCTGGGATGTGCCCCTTTACATCATTCTTAGGGCCCTGGAGTCACTGTCTGTGCCATGTGCCTCCTTGCTAGTCTGGGAGCTCCGTCTCAGAGGCAGAGGTCAGGCTTCACTAGGAGCTGGCTTCATTTTGAAGGGCAGTGGGGAGTGTGGTCAGGGCAAGCAGGTTTGCAAATAGAAGCTTTTTTGACAGAGCCTGCAGAGACTTTATGACCCCTCCAGCCCAGGTTTATAAACAGACCCTCAGACTCTGAATGACCACACTCCCCACTGCCCTTCTACTGCAGGCGGAATTGTGTCCCTCCAAAGTGTGCTGAGTCCTACCCCTGCGCCTGTGCATACGTCTCTGTTTGGAGATAGGCGCTTCCTGTTTTATGTTCAGGAGGTCACAGCAGAGTAGGGTAGGTCCCAACCCCCATCACGTCTAAGTGGTGTGTTATAAAAAGAGCCCAACAGATAAAGACACACACACACACACGGGGGGAATGAAAACACCAAGGAATGCCAAGGAACTCTTGGGGCTACTGTCAGGAAGAACCCTCCCCTAAAGCCAATGCCCTGATTCAGACTTGTAGCCTCCAAAACTGTGAGACAATATATCTCTGTGTTCCTTGACCAAAACCAAAAACTAAACACACTGCCATCGAGTCAGATCCGACTCATAGCGACACCTATGGGTTTTCGAGATGGTATCACTATGGAAATAGATTGCCCAACCTTCTTTCTGAGGACTGGCTACTGGGTTTGAACAGTCAGCCTTCTGGTTAGCAGTCAAGTGCCTTAGGCACTATGCCATCAGAGCTTAAAGTCACCTAATTATGGTTTTTGTGTTACAGCAGCATTGTAGGAAACTAAGACCACTCCTGAAGTATCTTTACGGGACTCAGACCCTCTTGAAACATGACAATGCTATGAGTCAGACCTGACTCGATGGCAGTGGGTATGTTGTGTTTAGAACAGAGCTAGACTTGGTAAAAGTTCAATTTATGACCAAGGATCAGAACTGAAAATACAGGCCCTGCCCTGAGGAGGCTCCTTCCTGACTTCGGGCCCAGGAAGGGTCCCTTCACTCTACGAACTGGGCTGTGCCATTTTACCCACCACGTCTCCACAAAGTATCCCAAACTACAGGGTGACTGGGGGCTAGGGATGACAATGAAAACAAAACTATAAGCTTTCCCAGATACTTAATCTGGATCAAATCAAAGGGCAAAGGCAAAAACTTGCGGAAAATCCCTCCCAACTGCTTTAGAAATCAAAGTTTAAAATTAGAGATAACATTACTTTTGTTCAGTGTATTTTTAAAGCATGATTCAGAAAGTAATTAGAAGTGGTTTGCACTTACCAAGGATAGAAACTTGTGCAGATGTATTTTCGGTACACAGCAATGCCCGCAGACGCAATCCCAATCATTAGATCTAAATTGTGCAGATCCTGTAAAAACCAAGAGTGCAGATTCACAGTCCAGTGCAGTTATGCTCACGCCCTCCGGCAACCTTTAAGCACCCACGCTTTCATAAAGAGTAATATGTACAAGCTGTAAAGGGAACAGTGGTACCAAGAATAGGGGAATATGTCTGCTTCACAGACACTTAAGATCGAGTACTTAGCACCAAATTCTTCTAGAGTGAACCACAGCCTGACAGTAAGCCCTGGATCCCAGTGGTTCAGAAAATTATCAGATAAGCTCATTCATTTTACAGAATCATGTGAATGAATATTCACTTTCCACAATTAGTCTCTGAGAACCATATTAAAATCACAAAGGCTTCTCCCCACCACCCAGCCTTATACATATCTGGACTCCCAGCACCGACAAAAGACGAGGTATTATGATATGATGATGAAAATCCAGGAGAGTAGAACCACTGACTGTAAAT